CAGATCTAAGTACGATTTTGGCGGTACGACCTCACCACTGATCTGAAGCCATTCGATGTTTGTCTTCTTCTTGATCAAGGCCAAAACGTTTTCTTCTTGTAAATATGGTCCGTAGGTATCGGTGTCGTACACGGCTCGGTATACGAAGATGATGTCACTGAGAAACAGGTACCTGTCAAAACAAACATTTGCAATGGACGTTAGTAAATGGGAGTCGCCACGACGAGGATGAATTACCTTATTGAATAAACTCCTAGATCTTTGTGCAAGTGAATATTCTATAGTTTTTAAAATTCACTTAGACAGAGTTCTAGAAGCCTTTTTGTTAAGGCCACCTTCAGCTCTTGTAAAGTATCACGTTAAGCGTACATATCAATCATGGAAGTAAATTTCTAATAACTGATAACCCTTATTGGAAGTACAAGGTTATACAAAGTTCTACTGGGTCAAATAGGATGCCGTTTATTTAAGTTATTGGCTTACGTTATTCAAAGTTATGAAATAAGTATTTAACTAGTTGTGGTTAATATAAAGAAGGCAATGGAGTTACCTAAGAGTTTTCATGGCTTATGTAAGTACCTGTCTATTGCTTGAGTGACGTTGGCTCTGTTGTCGTACAGATACTTCAGGCAAGTGTTTAGCTTAAACACCGTCGATTGGATTTTGAACAGAAATGTTTCCAAAGACATAGTGTAGTCTCTTAACCGAATTATCTGGATAACAATGCCGGTGAACCAATCTAGCAGATCCGTCACATCCTCGGCCACTAATTCAAATATCAAGTTTACCGCGAGACTACGGTATTCCATATCTTGTATTTCGCATACGTTAATGCCTTCGATATATATTTTATTATCCGTTAACTTTGCCTCAACTTTTTTCATTAGAAAGTCAGGGACTTTCAACAAGTCGTCCATCTCTTCGTCCACGTTGACCGGACGGCGCACGATCTGGCACGAACCGTCGGCAAAAACCAATAGACTGGCCAATATCGTGGAACATAAACAAAATAATTGTAAAGAGAACTTCATATTTTTTTCTTTTAGCAAGTCGGCTTATAGTAAGTATCAAGTAAACTGTGGAGCAGTCGCACCAAGAACAAAATTTCAACATTTTCGGTTGTTTTTTCAAGTGTCACGAATAAAAACAAATATCTACAAAAACAACTTTGAACTAAGTCGCAAAAATAAACTCATGTGTATTACTTTTATAACACAAAATTATAATAACAAAAATTGTGTTACAACTTCTGTTTTTTTTAACGCCCGTAAACTCAATAACAAAATATGATTTAAAAAACAATCATACTTACCAACAAAATCTTCACAGTGAATACTCTCAACCCCGAATTTTAAAACTTAGAAAAAATAATTTTTGTTTGTTTTATTACCATGTTTAACGCTAGCATATCTATCCCAGATTCTAAGAGAGTTAAAATTTACCTGAGAATATCATTATTTAATGAAAGGTGTCATTGTTGGCTTTAATACCTATTGAATATAGTGTACTGCAAAGTATGAATTTGAAAGACTGAAATTCTCCCAGAATTTTTTTTTTTTTTAAGTCAGTACAGTGTGGTCGGAGGAAAGTAGTGACAGAGCATATCAGAACGGGAGAGGAAAATTCACTTGAAAAAAGCTAGTACAGTTGGGTCGGGTACAGTGAGGACGGGGAAGTGACGGGTCTAAAAGAATTATTATAACTAAAAATGATAAAAGCACTTTTGTGATTAGTATGTTCTGACCAACCCAGTAAGAAAGTATTAGAGTGAGGTGCAGTATTTACAAATTAGCAAAAAGCGTTATTTGAAAGTGATTTTATCCGAGTATGCCAGTACAGTGAGGTTGAGGCATAATAGGATCAAAGCATAATGGAGACGGACGGGTTATTGGTCTACAGGATATAAAGAAATACTATACGAGTACATAATGTAAAGCTATTTTTTTTTCGTTGATTACATCGAGATAAAAATTCAAATTACGGTGCGTTTGAATAACCCAAAGTTAAACGATGAAAAGGTGTTAGCACTAACAGTAAAACCAAATCACATTTTCTGAAGAGTCTACAGGCTGATTCATTTTGGGTAAAACACTAGTTGTCTCTGAAAACATTAATATTTTGAATATTATATTATTTTTTAGATACACAATATTTTTCAATAATTTGAAATTGTTTCAGCTCTATTCCTTATACGATAAAAAGGGCCCATGTTGACTTTTTAAAATGACAACATATAATTTTAATTCCATAAATTTGTAGGAAAACAATTTCGAAATATGTTATCGTTTCAATTTTTAATTTTCATCTATCTGTTCGTTAGCTATGTTTGTAAAGATGTTTCTTTTTCTCCTAAATATTGTCATATTTCTTTGGTGTCCTCAAAACCGGTAGCCCATAAAAATTCTTATTTATGCTCGCATTGTCCGATAGGTGAGTACACCGATAACCAAACACAATAAAATGTTTTGAGATAATGGTTGACCTTATCAGTACTAAATTATTATTTTATGAGATGATTGGTGTAATAAAACTACTCGTCTTTGTTGAACCGAATGAAAATATTAAGAAATATAGATAAAAATTCAAGTCTTTACAAAGTCATAACAAGCGAACAAATTTATTTAAATTCCAAACTCAAACACTAACGTTTTTTTAAATTTTTTGTCTATATTTTTATGGAGTTTAAAACATATGCTGCCATTTGAAAAAGTGATGTCCTACCCTTTTTTTCGTATAAGGGTCGGAGATACAAATTTTTACAGTATTGAAAATGTAGTACAATGTGTACCTAAAAGTATAGGAAATAACTTTTTTTTTAATGTTCATATTTTCCGAGAAAATTAGTGTCTTACCTAAAATAAATCACCCTGTATACGAATATCAAAAAAATAATAAAAAAACAGTAGAAACAGTACCTATATATTTTTTGTTTTCGTATTAGGTCGTATTTTGTTGAAAAAAATTGTAACCGTCTAAATTCTGCAAATAGCGTCACCACTACTGTTTTTTTTTGTCACTATACAAAAAAATTTTAATAGAAAAAAAAAATTATAACAAGAATAATAATAATAAGAACAATAAAAAATGTGTAAATCGATCTGTACAAAAAATTATTAAAAAAAAATGTAATTAATGTAAATAATAATTGTAATTAATGTTTAACTAATGACCCATGTTGTCGATGTTTCAAAAAAGATCAATATAAAAAAAAATTTGTAATAATTAATCCGGATCTAAGTCACAAAAGAAAATTGCATGTGCTTGTTTCGCTAAATTTCGTTTGAATGATATGGTTGCTATTTGCTGGACTTTGGTCAGCATAATATGTTGCATAAAATGATTAATAAACTGATGACCTAATTAATCAAAATTGTACAAACTCAAAAGCTTATAAAAAAAGATTTTAAAGCGGTAAAGTATCTTTTTTAGGAAGCCGTTTGTTAAATGCCTTTTAAAATTATATAAAACATAAAGCCAAAATCAGTTAATTCAAACTAGTATACCATCGATCATTTAAATCAACTGTTGTTGTAGCTGTTATAACAAGTAGTACATATTTTCGATAGGTAACGTTTCCTTATCATGAATTTGTATCGAATACAAATGTGCAAAATCTATGTTTTAATAATATAACAACCATGAACAGTTCCAAACAATTTTTGTAATTGTTATTTGCTATAGTGAATTTTACAAAACATAATACCTAATAATTGTGCGATGTGGTTGACCTATATTTGATCGGCTCTTTGTAAATGTGCTTAAATTTATTTTAATACAAACGTTTTTTTCCAATCTGAATTCGCTAAAGTATCAAATAACTTGCCATATGTGCTTACTGTTTATACAGATTTTTAAATGCTCAGCAGTGGTTCCTTAGTGTATAGTGTATGATTATAGTGTATGAAATGCTATACTTACAACCTCAAAGGTAATTTAGAATGTATAAAAAAAAAGTCAAAATACAAAGTATATTATTCGTATTTTAAATAGTTAGTCGTTTATTATATCACTGTTGAAAAATACTAAAACACCAACCTAGTACCAGAAAATTATATAATAGTTTCAATTTGCATTTATCTCAAATATTTTTATTAGTACATAGTGCAAAAATGCAATTATTTTCAATATATAAACGTTACGCGTTACGTTAATCGAACAGCCTGAACAGCCTAAATCATTTTCTTTCCACCGACCTTTGGATGACGTGAAAATGCTAATAAAACGACTTAAACTTACTCAAGTAGTCGGTAAATAATATAGTAGCCGTTAACGTTATAAATTACTAATACATTTTGGATACAATTTGTCGATGAGTACCAAAATTAGAAATATTTGCAGAAAAAGTTGTTAATACTGTAAAATGCACAAAACTTCAAATAATTGGAATTTTCATAGACTATTCGGTTAAGTATGAATTTTCCAAAAAAAACAAAATCTCTATTCAAAGTTCAAACCAACTCCATCTCCATTTCCAACTCCAACTCCATTCCCATCCCCATCCCCAACTCCGTTCCCATCCCCATCCCTTTACAACAATTTTCGTTATAATAAAAACTATTGATTTTTCCGGTTGTGTGCAAAAATAAAGACATAAAATGTCAAAAACAAAATTGTATGTACAATATTTCTAACTCAACATTTGCTTGTTAATATTGCACTTTAACAAAACTTGAAAACAATGGCATCAGTTATCGCTTATTTTTTTTAAACCTGAGTTTCAATTCGAAGGATGCATATTTTTTTTTATTTTTCTAAAAGCGCTAAGAACGTTTGCAGAACAGAGAAGGATTAAACGAAATTAATATATGGGCGTTCTCACCAGTTTGGCTTAAAGTTGGGAAAATGGTACATTAAAAATATTAAGCCCAATATTCGTAACATATATTAAAAAGAGATATTATAGTATGTTATTTTATATTTTATAGTATGATTTATTTACCATTATTCTATGATTGTAATAGGATAAACGTATACGTATTGAAATGCATAAAACAATTTTTTTAAATATTCATGAGAACTCTGCCAACTTCTGTTGTTGCCAAAGAAGCCACCCTGATATCTTTTATAATTTTTTTCAGTTTTTCAGTCGGTTCCGTTTCAGTAACGGCAATGTCGAACTGCTTCTCTGCGGCTGACACATTCACAGGTTTTACGAACATGTTCACATATTTTATGAGCTTGGGTAAATCCTGTTCCGACACTTGTTTTTGCAGAACTTCAAAGCCCTGATTAACAATAGGTTCGAGAGCCACGGTAGCTTTCAATAATAATTGTTCCGGACATTCCAAATGAAGCGTGGATATCATAAAGCATCGGAATAAGTTTAAGACATTTAACTGATTTCTTAATTCTACAATTACGTCTTTCAAACGTTGGTGTCTGATCGCATTGTTTGGCGAACCACTGACAATCATTGTCCTCAAGTAGTCGACAAACAGCGAAATAATGGCAAAACTGTTTTTGTCCAATACCATGGAAAGCGTTTCGGCGACTTCCACGTAAAACGCTATTACTTTGGTCGAGTCCACCTCGGCGGCCGTGTCTTTGTATCTCTGCTGAAGAGTTTTGCCACTGATCGGAGACAACAAGTTCTGAACGGTCTTGGTTTTTATCAGGTTCTTCCACTTGAGTTGGTCGGTGTTCAACCAGTGGTAGTGCTGACGTCGGTTGTAGAAATCTGTGTAGCTAACAATTTTCGTTTTAGCTTCATCCAACAGATCTAAGTATGATTTTTGTGGTACGTCCCCGCCACCGATCGGAAGCTGTTTAATGTTAGTCTTCATCTTGATCAAGTCCAATATTTTTTGTTTTTCAAAATCGATTCTGGGCGCGACAGTTTCGATGGTGGTGTCGATGTTGTACTCTGCTCGGTATACGAAGATGATGTCACTGAGCAACAGGTACCTGTCAAACCAAACATTCATAATGGACATTAGTAAATGTGAGTTATCACGACGGAGATAAAATACCATATAGGATAGACTGTTTTCTATAGTTTTGTAAGGGCTAACGTCAGCTGTGAGACACAGCACGTTAAATTAAATTAAATTATTATTACTAATCATGGGAGTGAATTACTGATGAGTGATAAGTATACAGAAGGCTAGTGAGCGTAGCAAGCGAGTGCCAAAACACTCGGAGACCTACCGTCCTTATCAGTTGTCAATACGAATTTACCTTTTTGTAAAACGGAAGCAGCTTAGGAAAAACAGGAGCCGAATGGGCTTCGTCCTAATTGGACTATCCCGCAAGAACAAGGGTATAAAATGTCATACCGGGTCAACTAAGATTGCTGTTTCGCTGTAAAAAATATAATTCGAATGATGTATTGTTAAAAAAATATCAAAAAAAAAAAGGTTCGCCAATCTTTTGCATAGTAAACAATAGTATGTGTTCGACTATTGGAATGATAAAATAATAAAATCTACTATTAGTTTCAATTAATACATTATTCGTTATTTATTTAAATTTGCACCAGTGTACAGTGCTCATTTTCCTGCATTGGAATACTTAGAAATACCACCCAGTGCTTTAAGGAAGATGTATAAGCGGTTCAAAATTTTGATGAAAAAAGCAATGGAGTTATCTCAGAGTTAACAAGGTTTAAGTAAGTACCTGTTTAGTGCTTGAGCGACGTTGGCTCCGTTGTCATACAGATGCTTCAGGCAAGCATTTAAATTAAACACCATCGATTGGATGTTTTCCAGAAGTTTTTCCAAAGAAATAGTGAGGTCGCTTAGCCGAATCATCTGGGTCACCATGCCGGTGAACCAATCCAGCAAATTCGTCACTTCCTCGGCCACTTGTTCAAATATTAAGGCTACCGCACGTCGACGGATGCTCCTGTCCTGGATTTCCATTACGTTTGTTCCACTGATAAATATATAATTAGCATTTAACTTCGACTTTACTTTTTCCAACAGGAAATCTGGGACTTTTAACAAGTCGTCCATCTTTTTGTCCACGTCGACCGGACGAAGCACAATGTGACACGAACCGTCGGCAAAATTAATCAGACCTGCTAAAATCATGGAAAATAACAAAAATATTTGTAAAGCGGACTTCATATTTTTTTCTTTTAGCAAGTCGACTTATAGTAAGTATGGATTAAACTGCGGAGCAGTCGCCGCAAAAACAAAATCTCAACACTCAAGTTTGTTTTTTCAAGTGGAACCTATAAAAACCAATATCTCTGTAAACATATTTTACCGAAGTCACAGAAAAAATACTTTTTTGCATTATATTGAAATATAATATTATAATAACAAAATCTGTACCTCATATTTTTTTTTTCATAACGCCCGTGAACAGTATAACAGAATATGATTTTAAAAAAAAGTATACGTACCGACAAAGTGTTCCCAATAAAATATTCCTAACTCCCACATTTAGACTATTAAAAAATAGTTTTTTATTTTTAATCATTATTATCTGATTTTATTGTTGGCTTTAGAGGCTATGGAATATAGAGGGAAGAGTTATTTTTCTGGATTTCCACAAGGAAAACTTCTACTGGGGTAAATTTATTTGTTTATGGGGTCACTGATATTGGTTATCATTTTTACTCGGCCAGAAAAACCATAATTAAAATATATATACATATTTAACCCTACAACTCGTACCGAAGTACTCAATACTTACTAGGATCACTCTATGCATGATTTAATAGTTTTTTTTTAAGGTTACAGTGGTTACGGTAAAGTATTCAACCAAGTTGTAAACTTTTTAATCTTTTACCCCTTTAAGTACAAAACTAGATAAAATTTGTGATTTATAAAGTTACTACTCAAAGGACTTGGTCCAGTGTTAAAAATGTTACAGCGTACAAAGTCACAATAAAAGCCCACATCATAGTAAAACCAGTAGCCTCTTACTCCGAATCAAAGCAAATATGTATTAGTACCATCAATTTTTAATTCATTACAGGCAAAATTAAAAAAAAAATAATATGTCTAAAGAATAATTTCTCCCCGAAAACTATTTTAAGAAATTCAATTTTTGTTTCTTTCAAAAATAATTATTTCTGACATTCTGGAAAATAATGTTTTTCTATAATTAATTCTTAATCCTACTTATATACAAAAATATATGCTAATTAAAGAATTAAACAAGCTCAATTTTTTTCGCTACTCCATTTTCAAATGTACAATACTGACAACTACATTTGTTATTTTATTTAATGATAGACAACGTTACCAATTTACACGTATTGTTATAACTACAGCAAAAGTTACATAAAATGATTAATAGTTTGATAACTTAACTGGACAAAATTATATAAGATCAAAAGCTTGAAAAAAAAATAGTCAGTAATGAACGGTTTTAAGCTGTTAAGTGCCTTTGAAAAACCCTTTTGTTGAATGCCGGTTGAAAACGTTTAAAATGTAAAGCCAACCAACCAACAGTTTGTATTACTCCAAAATTCATAACCATAAAATGTTTTTTAATGACTTTAAAACAACTTATATAATATAAAATTTATATATATAATTATTATAAACATATAATATGTTTTTTTATGATTAATAATATTGTTATTTATTTACTATAATTCTATGATTGTAATACAATAAACGTGTGCGTATTATAAATTATAAAACTATTTTTCTATTATTATTTCGCTGCTAATTTCTGTTGATGCCAATGAAATCTTCTTCATGTCTTTAATGATTTTTTTCAGTTTTTCGGTGGTTTCAGTTTCAGTAACGACATGGTATGGCAGCATCTCTGCTTCTTCAGACGCATTCACGGGTTTTACGAAGCGCGGGCCTACATATGTTAAGATCGTGGGCAAGTCTTGTTGTAACGCTCGTTTTTCCAGAACTTCTAAGCCACGATGAACGACCGGACCGAGAGCCATTATAGCGTTTAATAATTGCGCCGAACATTCCAAATAAAGCCAAGATTTCATAAAGCGTCGGAATGAGTTTAAGACGTTTAACTGATTGTATAAGATTACGATTACGGCTCTCAAATGTTCGAGTCTGATCGCATCGTTTGGCGAACCTCTGACAATCATTGTCTGCAAGTAGTCGACAAACAGCGGAATAACGTCAAAAGTGATTTCGGCTAACAGCATGGTAAGCGTTTCGGCGACTTCCACGTAAAACGCCATTACTTTGGTCGAGTTCACCTCGGGGGCCGTTTCTTTGTATCTCTGCTGAAGAGTTTTGCCACTGATCGGAGACAACAAGTGCTGAACGGTCGCGGTTTTTATCAGGCTCTTCCACTTGAGTTGGTCGGTGTTCAACCAGCCGCAGTCATATTTTTGGTTATAGAAGTCCGTGTAACTAACAATTTCCGTTTTAGCTTCGTCCAACAGATCTAAGTACGATTTTTGTGGTACGTCCTCGCCACCGATCGGCGACCATTCGGCCTTTGTCTTCTCCTTGATCAAGTCCAATATTTTCTCATTTTGAAAATCGAGTTTGGGCGTCTCAGTATCGGTGTCATTGTCGTACTCGGCTCGGTATATGAAGATGATGTCACTGAGAAACAGATACCTGTCAAACCAAACATTCGCAATGGACGTTAGTAAATGGGAGTTACCATGACAGGGGTAAAATACCATATAGGATAGACTTCTCAAAATCTGTCCAAGTGAGTTTTCTATAGTTTTGTATAAGCTAACGTCAGCTGTTAAGACGCAGCACGTTAAATGTACATGTTATTGTCAAACTTGGAAGTGAATTTTAGATACTGAAGATTGATAAGTACCCGGAAGCCTTATTAGTCTTCCTCGCGAGAACAAGGGTATTAAAAGTGCTGCCAGGTCAATTAGCATTGCCGTTTAGTTGTTTTAAGAATGTAATTCGAATAATTTATTGTTTAAAAATTATCCGTCAAATAAGGGCTCACCGATTTTTGTCCATAATAGACAATAGTGTTGGTACGTATTAAAATATTTGAATAATTATATAACATAAACTACACACAGGATGGCCCACAATGATTTGACAGGTTAAACTTTTGTTCTAGCGAATACTTTTAAGATTATTTTTTTAAAAATAATTTATACTCATTTGCGTTATAAGCACTACGGTTTATATTGCACTTACCTATTTTAATTTTATAAATATAAATTTTTTTTTATATTAAAGATAGCCATTTTATTAAGAATAATTTACTGCAAATTTTGACTAGTCGATAACCAGATTTGAATAATTACTAAAGGTTGAAGAGTAGTATGAGAGGTAGAGTGCCCCATACCCGTCCCCATCCCTCATCTCTAATCTCTTATCTCTTGTCAAATAACATCGTGACAGCGTTTATGTAACACTTTTTTCGGTTATGGGTCAGGGCAACGACATAAAAATTTAAAAAAATATATTCACTAGAACAAAAGTTAATTTATTTTGTCAAATCATTGTGAGCCACTCTGTATATTTTTAATTAATACATTATTCGATTTGCATTAAAAGATATTCGTCATTCATATAAATATTGCCATAATATAGTGCTAAATCATACCACCAAGTGCTATTAGAAAATATGTACAAGTAGTCAAGTTTTGGTTGAAATAAAGAAAGTAATGGAGTTATATCAGGGTTAACAGGGTTTAAGTAAGTACCTGTCTAATGCTTGAGTGACGTTGGCTCCGTTGTCATACAGATGCCTCAGGCAAGTGTTTAGATTAAACACCGTCGATTGAATATGGTCAAGAAGGTCTTTCAAAGAAATAGAGTTGCCTCTTAACAGAATCATCTGGATCAGCATGCCGGTGAACCAATCCAGCATAATCGTCACATCTTCGGCCACTTGTTCAAAGATCAAGTTTATCGCGAGACTACGGTATTCCATATCTTGTATTTCGCATACGTTAATGCCTTCGATATATATATCATTAGCATTTAACTTCGTCTTTACTTTTTCCAACAGGAAATCTGGGACTTTTAACAAGTCGTCCATCTTTTCGTCCACGTTGACCGGACGGCGCACAATCTGACACGAACCGTCGGAAAAAACAAATAAACCTGCTAGAATCATGGAAAATAACAAAAATAATTGTATAAAGGGCTTCATAATTTTTTCTTTTAGTGAGTTGACTTATAGTAAGTATCGATTAAACTGTATAGCAGTTGCAGCAAAAACAATAACTCAATATCCAATTTTTTTTTCAAGTGTGACCTAAAAAAACAAATTTCTAAGTACACAAATTTTACCGAAGTCGCAAAAAAGTGACAATAATAACAAAATATGTACTACAGCTTTTATTTTTTCTATCACGCCTGTAAATAGATTAACAAAATATGATTTAAAAAACCCTTAGCAAATAAATGTTCACATTAGAATACTCCCAACCCCAACAAGGCTTAAAGTGGTTGTGTTAAAGTATAGAACTAACGCATAAGACCCAGTTCTGGAAATTAAAGATTGTGAAAAATGGGTAAAATTTAAATATAAGACTATTGACGTATAGAAACATACTAAATAAAAATTCCTTATAAATTTTGAAAAATTTTTTAAATTTTAGTGATAAAGGAGAAATTTTTTTCAACTTTATCACTACTAAGTACTAAATAGATACAATTTGTAATTTAAAGGGTTGCTATTTTAAATTTGGCTAGTATTTAAGTAGTAAAAAGTTATAGTGTACACAGACATATATATCTGAAATACCTTTATTAGACTTTTGAAATAATTAAATTTTTCCCAATAATGCGATCAACCTATAGAATGATTGAAATATTTTCCTTTCCATCGACTTTTGGATGACGTGGAAATCTAATAAAACGACCTTACTTACTAAAGTAGTCGGTGTATAATAAAGCAGTCATAATAATTATTAAAAAAAATTACTAACACCTATTCATTTCAGATACAATTTGTAGATGTGTAACAAAATTAGAAATATTTGCTGAAAAAGTTGTTATTACAATAAAATTCACAAAACTTAAAAAAATTGGCATTTTTATTGACTTTCCGGTTGAGAATTCATTGTCAGTACAATATTTCTAATACGATATTTGCTTAATTATATTGCAGTTTACAAGACTCCATCAAGCGATCTTTTTTTTTTATCTAAATTTCAAAAGTGACCCTTCATTTTTTTATGAACAGACGGAAGAACCTTATTTTTTATTTTAATTACTCCGATTAATTTTAATTTTTAATCTTGAATAGTAGTAAGTGAAATATTTTATGAATATTAATTATCATGTGTTTAATTATTTTACTTAAATATTTAAGTTAACATATTTTAATAAAAAAATCGGTCCATACTACTTAAGTCGAAATTTCGTCTGACTTTTTAGTCTAAAACGTAAAAAAAAAAAGACAGCATGCCATTCCCTTGATGAACAATTCTATCCATTGGCTGTTATTAAATTACATGTACAAACTATATCATTATAACCCTGATGATTGTTGTTAATGGATAAAATAATTAAAATATAAAGCATATAATTTTTATTTTGAACAGTTAATCATTTATTTTATTCAAATACTGTTA